CAAAGGGAACTAATCACCCGGCGTTTGGAAAGAGCAATCATACGCACATTTCCGGCGGTGCGTTTACGCCTCCAGTTCGCCAATCAGCCGATTATTTCTATGAATCTCAAAGATAAATTGCCTATTTCTATCTTTTCTATGACTACCTACTCATTCTTTTGTTCATATTCAACAAGCTGCATGGGGGTCGGACAATCAGGCAGTTTTCCCGGAGGATCAGTGAACACAAACCGGCCTGTTTAACTACTGCGGACGGGGAAACCATCTCAAGTGCCATTGTGGAACATCTCACAAATACAACACACCACATATTGAGTGAAGATGACTTCGAGGTGATCTATCGGATGCCTCACTATCCATCTAAGGCTGTTCGTCAATAATATTTAGCAACAGCTGTTTCATCCATCACTTTGTTCCCAAAGGCCATTTGTTAGAGCACTTCAACTACCGGGAGTGAATTCTGTCCCAGGACGACAGTCGACGCTTTCCATGACCCCATAACTCTTTCGATTTCCCCCGTGACCCCAACAGGAGATGGTCAACCTTGACTTGGTTCCACCCCTCACGTGCCACACTCCTATTCCCATCCACCAAAAACAATCATTTTGTTTTTTTGTCAAACACACAATGAACTAGTGATACCTACCAATTCAATCGGCACAAACACATCAAATGTTATGCAAATGTGATATGCCTATTACCGATTCATATAACTCTATTAGCCAGAAGAGGAAATTATCGAACATGAGCTTGTTTACGCTATTTCGTGGGGTTTGTCAGATGTTCCAATGGGAATGTTCAGTGAAAAGTTTTCACACTTTTTCAGACACCTAACCTGAGTTAACTCGATATATTCCCTGATGGCAAAAAGATTTTGGGAGGCAATTTGCCGTTCGTCCCAAAACACTTTTCCGCATCTCTGACTGAGCGAATCTCGCCAATTTATTGCGATAATTTATGTCCGATATTGATGTGTGAGACGAAGGACAAGTTGTGAATGCTTTATTTTTTTTTGTTTGTTTGTTGTTGTTCTCTTGTCTGCGGGTAGTGCTGGTCCAGAATTAGGAAATCGGGATTTCGAGACCACCAGCAACGCATCAATCACCTCAGTGGATGACGCATCGGAAGAAATCAATCAGAAATTGTCCACAATCGTACGACAGGACACTCTGACCGAAGCTAGTCAGTTTGATGATGGAGTGGAAGACGTGGCGGGAGAGATCGGACAAGGCGATCCGATGGAAACAGCAACTGATGGTATCACTGCCCCAAGTGGCACCTCGAAAACCCCAGGTCAGTACAGAGCCCTTCAATTTTGAAAAATGATATTTCACGTTAATGTTCACTGTGTTGTTACAAATGATGACCTTGCTTCATTTCTCCCCATAGCTCCATCCGCCGCTCCCGTGCTAGCCTGTCCTCTTCGAGATGCGTATTACAATATCCACGTTCGTGAAGCTCGATTTTCTTGTCAGTTGGCCGGTTTCGCCCACTTGCCGCCTGGTTTGCATGGACATCGTGAGGCGATTCAGGCTATTTATCCATCAGACACGTCCTCGACTTCTCTCAAACACGGAGGAAGTTCGGCCGCTGCGGTGGCTGCTTGGTATCTAGGCGGTTGTCTCTTAACTGACGGTCCGGGAGTGGAACTCGGTGCCGGACCGGGTGGTTGGCTGTGGTTGACTCTATCGGATTTGACCACTGAACAGTCCGGCAGTGTTGTGGAGTGTGTCATTCGAAATCGGGCCGGTAAGGCCAGAACACAAGCCCGATTGTTACAAGCAGGTGAGTGCTGAATTTACTTGTGTTCAGCCAACCACTGTGACTGTTTGTTAGGAGTATCTCTTGTGAGTTGTAAGTTGCCAATTACTAACTCTCGTAAGTAGCCTGTTTTACTCAGTGAAACATGGTTCACCTGCACGGTCAGCAAACCTTGTGTGCTAGCCATTCTATGGTTCATGTCCCCTGAAAGGATTCAAACTGCACATCGATCCGCAAAACAAGTGTGCAGTACTGGTAGTGTACCCTTCTCGGACTAGCTCCACTTCTGAAGCAGAGCTCTTCACTACTCCTGATTGGTTTCTCATAGCACAGAGTGAAGCGTGATGCGAGAGCCGGAATGATACCACAGATGCACATGTCGCAGTTTAACCACTGTACACTATCCTAAGTGACTAAGTAAAGAAAGAGGCTAAAGTTACCCAGGTAGTTAGTACAGACACGCACAGACAAAATTAAAAATAATCTGACGAGTTAGCTGAAAAATGCAACGGGAAGCGCACAATTCGCGGCCTACATGTCCAATCTCCCACTGCTTTCAATTGACCTTGAAACGACCTTGAAATAATCGAAAGATATCACACCAGTAGCATACTAGAAGAGATCATGAGTGACGTGTCAGTGAAACAGATGTCAATGAATTACTTGTTGAGATTGTGAAACGTTCAGTAGCCTCGGTGGGATTCTAACCAACCATGGGCGCCGCCTACGCTTTGTACGCGCACGCTCTACTAGCTTAGCTACGAGGTCACACACTGATAGCAGTGATCTTGTTACATTCAAATTACCCGTCCAACTTAAAGGCATATGGCATCCACCAGTTAGCATGTAAGCTGACTGCCCCCGACAGGTTTTCCTTAGAATTCGCCGCAGTTCACCGAATGCGCTTCTAAGGCAAGGTTAATTTTTCAAATTGTTGTTTGGCAGATTTGAATTTTTGATGTCGACTCCCACCGAGGCTACTGAACTTTTCACAATCTCAACTTAAAAACTTCAAACTTGTTAGTGTGGCTGTATATTCCACCATTTATGTTCTTAGACGCGAACCCACTGTTATAAAACCTCCATCGTGGACGGTTTCATTATTAACCGGCTCATGCAGAAAAGAGTTCACATTTGGAGCTAGTTCGTGGATTCAGCACAGATTTCAAGATTTCGAAATGCAGACAGCACTCTTGATCACGTGCTTTTCGTGTCAAGAAACGTATCACGAGCGTCGAAATGCTTTGGAACAAAAAAAAATCAACCAAAACAGTTCTATCAGTGCCATTGTAGCGAGACAAAAGTTTTCGGCATTTGGAGAACAAGATGAAATCTCTCTTTTTTTCCTAAATCGGAGATAATTACAGGGCTGCAGTGTAACCAGTGTGAAAAGATGCAGATATCGAAGAATTGAACAATAAGGTTATGGAAAAGGGGACAATCTTCTCAACCTGTGTGTATAGAAGGACAGTCAACGAACTTCTATGGAGACATGAATAACATGAGCAACCCAGGACAGATTAGGAATGACGGTAGCAACGAGATATCTAACCGAATCAAATTTGGGGATAGTTTGACTATTATGATTTAAGATCAGGGATATTACTTATCAATGCAAGCAAGATAACGGGGGCCGGTTGAGAGGCTAAAAGAAACATCGATACACTTATTGATTTGGATAGAACCAATAGTGAAGTTCTTGGAGAGGGCGAAAACTGCCTGTACCAAGAGAAGGTACAGACCTTTCACTATATTATCGGTATACTTGCAGACAATAAAGTTCAGGGGAATGGGGAGATTCTGTATGTAATTAGAAAAAAAACGAATAAACAATGTTACCCTGATAATTAGCATAACTGATATTGAAGGAAAAAGACTCTCTGTAGTTAGTAATTGAGGTAAATCGGGTCCTGCGTCACGGGTAGTCGATCGAAAAATTCAAAATTTCGGCCAGCAGACCACACTTAGATGTTCAGTAAGCTTTATTCGGTCGAGAGAACCGAGTTCTTTGACATAATCAAAAAGGCTTGTTCGTCTAAGACAGATACAACAGACGGTGCAATATGGATGACAGGTTCCAGTGTGAACAGACTGGATGTGTAGGCAAACTGCGGGGGTGGGGAGGAAGGGTCATGGATGTTAGTTACATGCGGTGCAGCAAAACATTTTCAAAATACTTTCAGCAACACAGATGTGCAGGTAATGGTAATGGTAAGTTGACGATCTTTTCTTGCGGATTGATCTTCTTTTAGCTGAGCCCCAACAACCTGGGATCTTTCATTGATCACATACGGGTGCCGAACGATTCAGCAATAGGTGTTGCAAGCTGTTCGGTCCAAGGAGGGTAATCATAGATCGGGACCATGAGCTTTGCTGACCTTGAGTGACCTCAAAATTTGGGGAACCTCGTCCGAAGAAACAACGTTAATTGTTGTACGGTTTGGAAAGGGAGGTGAAAGCAAGCTTGAGGCCAGACGGAGAGTTAACCTACTGGTTCAACAGTTAATGCGTCAGTCACAAAGTTTCCGCATGGTATTCCACATCTCACAACAGCTTTCATTACCCCCCACCCCCCTTCAAAAAAAACAGTCCAAACGTGCAATGATAGCTACGTAGATCTTTCCCTCCCCACCCTGGTTTTCATCCACTAGAGATGATAAAGTAGAAAAAACAGACAGTTTTTCAGTAACTATGCTTTTTATACTATTCACATGTATACTATTTTTCCCGCCGATCAGATCCTCCCAAACCACCTGGACGTCCGGGTTTGTCTGATGTACGTGCGACCGAAGCTTTGGTCACCTGGGCTCCGACGGATCCGACAACCAACCAAGACATTATTTATCGGGTTGATGCAAAATATTCGCCAGGTATGTTGTTACACCACGCTCATTTATCTACCCTGTTTCCCTTGTTGCCTGTTTACGAAAGACTAAAAGATTTCAGGTTTTTCAATCATATTAATAATAATAATAATAATAATCTACTTTTCACTGAATAAAATATAAGGATGGGCAAAGTGGCCGATCAAAGATCCCCCATAGGTTACAAATAAGTGGGAACTTTAGTTAGGGATAATCGGAAATGATATCACGATTCCCATGAGGTAGCATCACTTGAAAATCGCCATTAAAAGATTATAAACTCCATTAAATCAAAAGAATGAACCGTTATTTGTGCTTGGAGTTCCGCAGTGGAAAAAACTGGGAATCACAACGGACATGGAAGATAATGTCCCGCACCGGATTAGCCTCCAGATGGGAACTGCGCAGGTAACGAAATCGAGCATGGCGGAGAACGTGTGGGAATTCATTTGCTATGCAAGAACATGGTTATTTATGGAGAAGAAAGAGGACATGGGAATGCGTTTATCAAACGATTGGTTGAATGGATTACTGGCAACCGTCTTGATTGGTTGGCGGTTCCGACCAATCACCGGAGTTCACCTGTCCTTGTTCTGATCGTTTGTGCCGGGATAAAGCAGTTTTCCGGGATCACGCTAACTCCCTAACTCGCAGAAGAGACCGCAATGCTGGGGCAAACCGCACTCGAATACAATAAACGTTCCTCAAGATCAGATCCGGTCAAGTCCCCGAGATCCAGGATGAAAGATACAGGCAACTTGTAGGTTAGCGGCTGTACGTAGTTCATTTTGTCAACATATAACAGAATTTCGAGCTGTTTCATTAAGGATAAGGAACAAACACTGGTCTTCATTGTATTTTGCTCTAGCAATAAATCCGTTTAAAATATCCAAATATTTTCGAATAAGAAAGAGAACCAAAACAATCTTGGTTTGAATCACCCGGGAACAACAGTGTAGACCTCATCTCACGACCCAGACTTGAGAGCAATATGAAAGGATAATAGAACCGATAAAGCTGACTGATTAACACGGATAGATATCCGGAATCATAAGTTTGAATAGGCGAAATGACAACTTAAGTACTAATTTATTCAAATCAAACAATCGAGCCCAGGTTAATCGGTGCATAACGGCATGTTGCGTGTTCCGAGCGATAACACCCAGAGCAAACAGCCAGTGGAAAACTTGATGAAGCCTGTTCTGAAATTCACTGAAAGGTCGGCGTACATGATAGTGAAACACAGGACGGTTAAGACTGTGTCATACTCTCTTCCACATGCAGATAGGAGCTCCCGAGTACACATCGGAGCCGCATCCAATCCAATGACATCCTGCGACAGATTAGTTTGAACTTTTACCCAAACAGTCTCCGTATTGAGTGGCGTCCGCGTAGTTCAGCATCAAACATTCTGTTCCATTACGTCCCACGTATGAGTCCAGCACGGTTCACACACTACGGTCACATCGGAAGACAATGGAAATGGATACAATGTGTAGCATTGAACCCAAGGCCTGTCCGGGACGGGGGTGGATGGGTGGCTGATCAAGTTCAGAAGGCTCACAGGCCTTGAAGATAAGAGACGCCAGAGCACCGATGACCTTGACCGCGTTTCTTTAGGACTACTACACTTGGTGTCGAAGTTGATTTTTTCGGCAACCTATTAAGGAGGAAAATAAGTCGGTCTGCTGTATATGGATGATTTTATCCCGACAATTCGTGATCGGTGGTGCATTCATCCTCTTAGATGGATGAACCTGGTCGTCAAATATAGATTTGAGATGGCATATATTTTGGAAAAACAAAACTATAGATTCTTTTTTTGAAATCAAGTAACTGTGACAGCTCGTTCACCAAAAAATATCGGTTTTCATTTCCTTATGCTTTGTTGCTATTGTTCAATTTTTCCACCATCCAAATTCGTACAAAACAGAATTACTCTTTTCGCCAAATATCAGTACATTCATGATCTCCGCTTGGGGTGGGGTGGGGTAGATTGCATCGTTTCCCGCCAATTGTCACCGTTTTGCGAGCTCGTTTTGTGCGAATGCGGAACCCCTTGTATCAGATTCACTATAGTACGTCACTGTGTACTTTCTCGCACATTTATTTTGGCGCCAACGTAGAATTAGGTGTTGGTTGTCATTTATTTCTATCATTTCTATGATATTGCATCGGCTGTGTCCTCTTAGTCCCACAGTCATCACGGTCACTCTCTCTCCGTTTGTATCTGCCTTTTTACTCACGTGCGACATTACACCGGTTGACCTGATTCCCGATCGAATCGCCACGAATTTTCGCCACACGTTCAACCGTTCACTTGGACCGGTTCACGTGACAGCCCATTTAAACGTAAAATGCGGTCAAACGAACTCTACATCTAACCACGAACGAAAACGAAGCAGATACCGATCACTTATTGAGCAGTATTTGTACAGGATTGACGTCCAATCAGATAGAGTGACACGCAGAAAACGAACCCCCCCCCCCAAGCCCAGGCAAACAGAACACGAGTTCGATAATCAACGTGTACTGAGGCACAGTTGAACAAATAATATGTACAACATACCTCAAGTTATGATCAATCCGGCGCAGAAATCGGGCAACATCGAGTCAAGCCACTCGCTGCGTACCGTCAGACTAAAGAATGTGGAACATCAAAGAGAACAGAGTGTTTAGAGGGGTAAACCAACCAATAGCCGTCAATCGGTCCATGTGCATCGTCGTTTATCGGTAGTGAGACGAAGAATGCACGATATGTGACAGTTCAGTTCAGTTTTTACAACCATTAACCATGCACTTTCGTGCGCCGGTTTTGGTTGCTGTCTTTTGATGCCCCAATGGGATAAAAGAGCAGAATGAAGACTCGAATGTCGAAAGAAAATTCAAGCGGAAGACGGAGAATTCCCATCGAGTGGTGTTATGAGAATAATGAGTAGATGCATGAGCGCCACTGTTTGAGAAACTCAGTCATATCACTCAGGGTCTCTAATCATCGGTGACCATCAACTCTCAGCCCCCAGCTAGGGAGCCTAATGGGACCTATGTGACCTAGTCTCCTGGTCAGGGTTTTCATACCCTCATGCCAGATCTTCGTTTGATCACCCTTGACCTTGTTCTATCACGAGGACATACTGTTCTAGAATGGAAACCGGGACTTGGAGTGACGAACCACATAAAGTCCCGATAGGTTAGGTGTGGTATTGAACCGGACGACAGCAAAGCTGCCTACCACCAAAGTTGGGTGATGGTGGCGGGGCTCGAACCTCGAACCGCAGGGTCCGAAGCATGCTGGTGATAGTGACTCAACCACTGCACCACCACTATCTCACAGTTGATCCTTCAGAACTGTCCCTAATAACAGAATGCATCTACTTCTCATCATCCAGTTATATCTGATCACGAGCGAGTGATGTCGGTCGGATACCGACCGTAGCTCATTTACTGCAGCAGTTTACTGTGAAACGAAAGGGTTTTGGGCTACCATGCCGACAAGGGCTTAGATGCTCAGTTGTCTGAAGGGTCAATTTTGTCCACACGATAAATCCTAAAAATGTACGTTTATAGAGTATCTAAAAATCTGTCGAATTTCCCCAAAACAGTGAAGATGACAGAATATTACTATCGGTTTTATTTGCCATGTATTGGGTAAGTCCCACAAAGAACGTTTAAATTACAGTACGTCCATTAAATGCGATGGAAAGATTTTTGCAGACAAACAAAGAGCACCAGACACCTGTTTCGTCCCGTTTGGGACTCGTCAACAGTGCGTACTCTGTGTGTCCCTATCAGGACTCGACTCGCTAACACTTGGGTCAGGATTTCAAACCCTTACCCCTTGTGCCAATGGTTCAAGTAATCGAGGGTAGTACATTTGGAATAGGTACGGGTTTAAACTCCCCACGCAAATGTTCGTAGTTCGAGTCCTGAAACGGACAGAAAAAATGTGCATGCATTGCTAACAAAACACCTGTCCTGTGCTGTTTGTGGGTCATCACAAATCTTTCCGTCGCATACAAAAATCTTCCCAGGAGTGAAACCCATACCCCAGACCATTAACAGTGTCTGATATCAGTGAACAATAGATGGAACTATTCCAAATTTTCGACCCTTACTGTACATTCACTTTTTGTGGTAAATTTTTCACTGAGTGACCGTTACTAGGAGTGAGAATAACCGGCGATCGACGAGATTGATGTTCTGCGTTGAATGTGCAATATAAAAACATCAACTTTAGCGAATAACAAAGATTTCGATAAACCGCGTTGTGAGCAATTTTAAAAAAAATAATAACGGGCCACAGAAAGCCCGATATATTTTTATTGGATATGATGTGTTGCAAGCACAGTTTCCCCGTAATACGTTTGAATAGCAAGTCCGGTCGGCACAGGTTTGCACAGAGTGTCCTGGATCGATTTGCTGTATCTGTCTCCAGGCCTATACTGCAGTTTGAGTGCTCATTATTATTATGTGATCAGACAGTTGAGAGTATTCGGCCGCGAAACAGTGCGATCAACATTACTCATATCCACTTACCGTTTGTAACCTGCTAAAGTGATAAGCCATTCTTGCTGTTTATATGGTTGGGGATTGTGGTAGTTCTGAGTGGTTAATGCCTCGGCGTGTTTCGCAATGGTGTTGATCCTGGCCTAAAAGATGACACATACCACGCGGCGACACGTTACAGTTTTCGGACAACTGTAGTGAATCAAGCGTCCCAGGTGACGCCAGCAATGCGCATAAGAGGTCACAGCTTCTGGACTACAGACCATCGGTCGATTGTACCAACCAATCAGAAACCCTGCGGCCCAGACAGAAGCTGCACGACACCAGAAATACTAGCATGCCATTGGCGGAGGCTTGAATGACCAATGAACTTGTTTTGTAAATATTATTTACTTCCCCTGATTTCTTTCAATAAATGAACTATTATTCCTGTGACCTTTTTCTCGCGTCTTGGGATATTGGGTGCAAGCACCAGTGCTTGCATCTCGTCCCTGATTGGTATTTCGTGTCCAGTGCATACTACAAGCACTGCAGGGACTCTGATATTGTTGTTGTTTGTGTTGTAGAGGATTCTGCGTACTGCGTTCGCGCGCAGCATGGCACAGTGCTTCATTTCGATCAGGGTGCTGTGATATTATGTGAACTGAGTTCCATACTTGTCCCCGGTGACGTCCTACTTCCAACGCTATTACTAATTGTCTTCTGAAGCCAAACCATGATGAGCTTGGTCACACGATAGCTTAGCTCTGTCTGTCTGTCTGCCCGTCTGTCTATCTGTCTGTCTGTCTATCTTGCAGATGTATGTAGATGATCGAGTAACCACGCATGAATCGATACATACATTTGGAAATATGAAATACTGAGTCTCATTTATCCATCGCACCAAGACCGAAAGAGGACATATCAATTGCAAAACACCTAGTGACAAACAAACATTTGATCCAGCTTCCTCTTTCAAACCGCTGTTACGTAACTGTAATGCAAAACTGTTGGCAATAAGTGAGGCGTTGCTAATCCGATTACATTATCTCGTTCTGTGTGCCCAAAAGTTGTTGACTCAATCAGTTCACTTATCTTGAAGTTGACCTGTTGTTTTTAATTCTAATAGCCTCTATCTAACTGTTGTACATGTCAGTCCACTAGGATTTACAAATCCAATTTGCTATAAATGTGCTGATTTGTTTTACGGCAGCGATTGAGAAGATACAATTGGATTTGGCTCGAAGACACGATGATTCTTTCACCGAGGGTGTTAGTAGGTGGGTTATGCGATAATGATCACTCAAAATGCATTGTGCGCTTGTAAGGTGTGTGTGTGTGTGTGTGTGTGAAAATTTTAAATGAATATGAAAACGATCTACAATGGGATCGAAACTCTGACACTGCATGATGATAATTCCCAATCGATTCATGTTAATTTTCACGTGCGAAAACAGTTTTATTTGCTAAATACCATATTCGTTAAATACCCCGTCTAGGTCCAAACGAACCACTAGGATGGTATCCAATCGGGTTTACCGTGGATTGTCGATACCTGATCACCAATCTGACACCCGGGAGACATTATCGCGTCCGTGTTTCAGCCGGAAACATCCATGGATGGGGCAATTACAGTGTGGCATCGTCCGAGTTCCAGACTCTGAACGGTAAGACAGTGGATCTGTTTTGTTTGTTTTTATCTGGCTCATATTGAGTAGGTCCTTTCACTGGTTGGAGTTTTTGCTCAAACAAGGCGTATAATTAATATGTTCACAATACTTGCCCGGAGTTTAACTCACGATCGGGAAAATAATCGAAAATAATCCTCTCGGATATGTAGGAGTGAAACAAGAAATAAAAGCTATGGAAGAAAACGATGCTAACTATGAAGTTCACATGTGCTCAATCAATTTTCTATTTATTACACGGATTTGACTGGTATAAGAATACCAAATACAATTGATCATTTGCATTTAACTCAGTTACTCGTGAGTAGTGGTGTGGGATAATTGATACTGATTGATTTGAACTGACTATCCTTCGAACTTCACCTTCGCGCAAGATCATTAGTTCATCGGTTCAACCTTACACTCGGAAGCACTAGACTACTCGAGTTTCGCTCTTATTGGAGCTCATCAGCAGTGCATATCCACCGTCCTGTCCGGAGTTGGAACTTTAGATCCATCGGGCATGGAAGGCATGTGTGTATGAGTTGGTTGGTAAAGTAGTAACGCACATGCGTTCCATGCGATGGGTTCGGAGTTCAAATTCCGGACAGGACGATGGATATGCACTACTGATGAGCTCCAATAAGAGCGAAACTTGAGTAGTCTAGTGCTTCGGAGTGCATGATTGAATGAATGATGAACTGAGAGTTGTGCGTGAGGGTGAAGTCCGAAGGATAGTCAGTTCAAATCAATCACTGCAATTGATCAAGCGGAAATGCTTGGAGAGTTCGATGATGATCAGAACCAACTGAGGTTGAAAGGATAGGTAGGGGTTGTTCAGCTTTACAATGTCCGGGATAGACGCAAATGGTTGTTATTGAAATTGTGGGACGTTGGCGGAGGTGATGCAATAGCAAAAAGTGGAATAGGTTCATGGCAGACGAAAACCAGAATTGAATTCTTTTGTGCATCGGCAATAATTCTTCAGTATAAAATGTGTATGCTCGAATTTCCCGCCATTAGTTATTAATTATGGAAACAAGAAAGACGAAGTTATTTTGTTCGCAACGATCTGATTGCAAGCGACCGATAGTGCCCGCCGCAGCGAACCTGAGCATGACTAGGGTTCAAGGTCATATAAGTGATCCGGAAACACCTTGAACTTGTCCGCGGAACACGTGAGCTCCCGCTGCACTCGTAGAAAAGAAGAGAACACAGTACAGAAACCAAATTGGAGGTGCAAAGCCTCGACTACAAAATTTTCAACTTCGTGCTACTCATTCCGGGCTTGTGCATGACTTTTGACGATTCACAGGATGCAATTAGGTAAAACGTCAGTCGCACCCCCCCTCCACACACACCCGCCCACAGTAGGGACACGAGTGAATGAAAGATATGGTGACCGAAATCGTCGTCCGTGGCCGTGCGAGACTGCACTTTTATCATCTCTCTCTCGCGCGCGCGCTCGCGCCATGGCGTCAGAAAGAAGAGTAGAGGAAGTTTGATGCTGTTTCGCCGCGTACTGGGGAGTTTGCGGTTTAATCCGGATGTGAAACACATCAAAGATGTGCGTCGAACGCGCACATGTTGAAAGTGCACTTCAGACAGATCGATTCATTGAGAATCCGGAACACGTACTCATTGGAGGGGGGATTCAAACAAGCACTTCCGTCGGTCCCGCAATCTGTTAGTGAAAAGACTGCATTGATAGAATTACCGGCTGCGGACGAAAATGAGGGAATATGCAGAGGATTATTCAATTCATCAGATTAAGGGGGGGAGGGGGTTGAGTAGACTCGGTAACAAGATGCTCTTGCGGTGCAA